AGGCCTTCGTTAAGAATTGTGATTAATCAGAATTTTTCTGAAGGAGTTAGAATTTCTGTGAAGAAGGGAGGCTGAAGCAACAGACAGGTCAGAGAAAGTGTCCTGGTGGACAACTGGAAGGTATCTTTCTGATGCCCCCTGGTGGCCTTGTACAGCTAAAATTAACCAATGTGCTCCCGCCGCTTTTAGCCCCATACACACTGGACAAAATCCACCTTGCTGGGCGTTCTGGACACACTCAGCTTGCACTTGTGGAGCCAAAGCCACATGACCTAGCACTGACATGGAGCACAGCTTCTTCCCCTGGTAAGAGCTGATTTTGAGACACGAATATGAAGAAAAACCCAAATCTTATAGTTCCATATTTCAAATTTCTATATTGCATATGTGTGCATGGTGATTAGATAGCATCCTCTGGGGAACAGAACAGATTTCCTTTTTAACATTTAGTATACATATTCTTACCAGGCCAAGCGGTGCTGGGTGCAGTTTCTTATAGGGAGGCTCTCAAAAAGGCGGGCAGCTCTGTGTTGAGGACAAGACACCACTCCTGTATCGTCCCAGGCTCTGATCTAAGAAATTTAACATTTCAGTTTTACCAGCACATTCACGATCTCCAGGAGAAGCAGGCTAAAAATTTATGGGATCTTTTTTTTTTTAAAGATTTTATTTATTTGAGAGAGGGAATGAGAGAGAGAGAGAGAGAGAGCATGAGAGGGGGTTGGGTCAGAGGGAGAAGCAGACTCCCTGCTGATCAGGGAGCCCGATGTGGGACTCGATCCCGGGACTCCAGGATCATGACCTGAGCCAAAGGCAGTTGCTTAACCAACCGAGCCACCCAGGTGCCCAAAAATTTATGGGATCTTATGCACCTTTTTCAGGAAGGAAAACATGGAGAAAAAAGGACACAGAAAGACCAACTGCGGAAGGTGTCCCCCTGCCATTCCAGAAAAGGCACAGCATGCCAGTTCGATTCTCAGTAAGTTGAGGGGCCCGGGGCGGTGGTCCCTCTCCATGGGTCTGCTCCCTGCAGGCAGACCATCTGCCACACCAAACAGCTTTACCTAGACAAGGGAGTTGCCTATTGTATTTTTTTTTGCAATATGTAAAAAATTAAAAATGGAATAGATTCAAATGGATCAAATGTGGTCAGACAGGGTGAAAGTGCCCACCTGTGTTTGTGCGGGAGTCCCAGCACTCCATGCCCTCAGTTGTGAGGTGGCCTCCACTCTGGGTGTCATCCTTCCAGCATGACCCAAAATCCCCACCTGGTGAGCTTCCTGGCCATGGGAGACTTGCTGCCGACTTGTCCATACACATTTCACAGAAGCAAAGAAAATTAGAGCTGGGAGGAGACCAGGAGAGCACGCAGGGCATGGAATTCAATGATTTTTAGTCAGAGGAGTCTTCCTCCAAAGGTAGTTTAAGCAGAAAAACATCCCCTGGCAGAACCACCCTGGTTGAGGAAGAGGTGAAGCCGAGGCCTGCCTGTTCAGGCAGCTCCTGAGCATGAATCCCCACCGAGGCTGGTCTACCCTGTTTATACACAAGAACCAGGGCCAGAGACCTAATGAGGCTTGTTCATGCTCATACAAGCTGTGGGCCAAGAGCCTTTCCTTCGACCCAGTGTTCTTTCTGTTCTGTCATGTGTAGTTCTACTTCTTCTCCATAGATGATTCATTTTCTTCTTCTTCTTCTTTAAAGACTTTATTTATTTATTTGAGAGAGAGAGAGAGCGAGCACGAGCAGGGGGAGCAGCGGGGGCAGAGAGAGAATCAGACTCCCCGCTGAGCAGGGAGCCCGACACAGGACTTGATCCCAGGACCGCAGGATCATGACCTGAGCCAAAGGCAGACACTTAACCGACTGAGCCACCCAGGCGCCCCAAAGATTCATTTTCTAATAGTCATAGTAATGTTTCATCAATTGAACACCTACTACACCAGATGCCATACCAGGACAGGCTTTCCGAGTGTGGTCAGAAGGCTCTGGGGGTCCCTGAGACCCTTCTGGGGGGCTGTGAGACCCTCTCTTTCCCAGCTACATATCCATGCAAGGCCGATACTGCAACTGACTAATGCAGGTGCAGCCGTTGAATCCAGCTGCCTTCTAGTAAGCCAGGTATTCAAGACACTTGCCAAAACATAGAATACTGCCACTCTTCTAATGCCTTTCATTTTTAAAAATAGCTTTTTTGCATTAAAAACCTGTTATTGTGGGGTGCCTGGATGACTCAGTGAGTTGAGGGTTGGATTCTTGGTTTCAGCTCAGATCATGATCTTGGGGTCATGGGATGAAGCCCAGCATCGGGCCCTGTGCTCAGCACGGAGTCTGCTTGTCCTTCTCCCTCACCCTCTGCCCCACCCCCGACTCTGCGAGCTCATGCACGCATGCTCTTTCTCTCTCTCTTAAATAAATGAATACTATTTTTTAAAAAACCGGGGTGCCTGCGTGGCTCAGTTGGTTAAGCATCTGCCTTCGGCTCAGGTCATGATCTTGGGGTTCTGGGATCGAGTCCCGCGTTGGGATCCCTGCTCAGAATTAAGTCTACTTCTCCCTCTCCCTCCCCTTCTGCTCCCCTTGTGCTCCCTCTCTGTCAATTGAATAAATAAAATCTTTAAAAAATTTTAAAAAAAACCTTATTTTATCAGCATGAAATGAATTACTGTTGGTTTTAAATGACATAATAAAAATATTTTTAAATGTTTCAGTTTAAAATTCTATTTAAAAAAAGCCTTAGGACTTGCCTTTCAGTCTTGGGAAGATCTGAATGATTCTGCACAAGCAAAAATGACTTGAAATTTATAATAGATCCCTCTCTAGCAGTCCATCTTCAACCGACTGAATGTCATATAATAGCTCTTCTCCAATGCAGGGTGAGATTTTTCACCACGAGTACAAGAAATGGCATATATTATGATACAGGATAGATAAAAACTATAATAAGTAAAGCTCTTTAGGGTTCTCAATTTTAAGAGTGTAAAAGGGTTCTGACAAAAAATTTGAGAACTGCTGACATAGTGCATAATATTTAGCTATCCTTATATCCCTGTAAGTAGAAATTATTATCTTTATTTTACAGATAAGGAAATGGAGGATCAGAGAAATTCAGTAACTTGCCAAAGAGCTGGTGTATTTCTACTGCTGTATAGTGAAGTATCCCAAAATATAATGGGTTCAAAACAACAAACATTTTCTATCTCAGAATTTCTATGGGTCAGGAGTTTGGGAGCAGCTTAGCTGAGTGATTCAGGCTCAAGTTCTCTGATGAGGTTGTAGTCAGATGTTGGCCAGTACCACCCTCAACTGAAGGCCTGACCGGGACCAGAGAATCTGCCTCTATGATGGTTCACTCACATGGCCACTGGGAGGAGGTTTTAGTTCCTCACTGTGTGTGCCTCTCCAATAGGCTGCTTGAGTGTCATTATGGCATGGCAGCCAAGTGATCCAAGAGAAAGACCAACATGGAAGCTTCAGTGTCTTTTATGACCTAGTTTTGGAAGTGATACATCATCATTATCACTTTATTTGTGAGAAGCAAGTCACTAAATCCAGCCCACACTCAAGGAGAGAAGAATTAGGCTCTACCTTCTGAAGAACATATCAAAAGAATTTGTGGACATATTTTTAACCATCACTGCTAACTAATGGCAGACCCAGACTTCAAACTCAGGTCTATCTGAACCTCATGCTCTTTCCACTATACAACCTTCCCAAGGAATGCCCTCAATTCTTTATTGCAATTTCCTTGAGTTATGGATTGAGAAGGAATTCAATGACTATTTTTTAAAAAGATTTTATCTATTTATTTGAGAGAGAGAGAGAGAGAGAGAGAGTGCATGCACGAGTGGGAGGAGAGGAACAGAGGGGAGGGAGAGAATCTCCAGCAGACTCCACACTGAGCATGGAGCCCGACTCAGGGAGCTCAGTCTCATGACCCCGAGATCACAACCTGAACCCAAACCAAGAGTCAGACGCTCCACCAGCTGAGCCACCCAGGTGCCCCTCAATGACTACTGACTGAGATATGGAAAAGAAAAAAACATCCCTAGAGCTCATCCCATCGTGACTTACTCTTTGAAAGATAATGTTACAAATGAGCATAATCACCAGAGTAGCAAGGCAGGTAGCGTCGGCAGAGTCTTTGTCCCCCGGTCTCACCTCTCCTGGAGCTGAGATGTTGCTTGAACACCCAAGCCTGATGTGCTCACTTGTCTGGCCCAGCCTCTCACACTCTAGCCTTACCTGGAGGGCTCCATCGCCCACAGCCTGCCAGGTCCTAGACCTGCACTAGACACACACGCTCTCTACTACTAGCCCCTCTGTGGCACAGATAAGGGCAAAGCTATAATTCAGTTTCCCATATCAGCTTATGGATTTGATGTAGAGAAAAACCATCTTTCCAACTGTCTGGGTGACAAAACACAAGCTCTTGGCCATAACAGGGTCTGAGAAAAGAATGAGGGTGTATCAGGGCAAATCTGGAAAAATATCGATCTTGCATTTGTAATTGGTTCAGTGGGCCACGTTCTCACGGACCCATCCATTCAGCAGACCTTCCCTAAGCACCTCCATGTGCGAGGAAATTCTTGAGGCTTTCCTATCAGATCTGTTACTTACCAAAACATCTCTCAGTTGTCATAAGGGGATTCCAGATGTCATCCCGAGGCTGGGAACTCCCCTTGGGAACACAACTGGGGAAGTGGACACTTTGGCGCCCACTGGTTAGAGCTGCCACACTTTATGACTCTAGTGAAGAAACTCACACTTCCTTTGTGTAACTTGGGCTTTTCCAGGTTCTGCTGTAGGCCCCAGATGCTCTTCTGCTTCTGGGACTGGATTGCAGAGTAATAAATGTGAGAACTGTGGCACTAAGCGTCATAATTCCCGAAGAGTCTATGGCAAAGAGCCACTTGAAGGTGAGCGCGACTCGGGGCCCTTGCACGGAAGGCCTAAGTGGGGACAGCTGCTGTCCACGGTAGTGAGTTGTATTTTTCATCTTTTCTTTTTAGAATTTCATTATAGATACAACATGCCAGGAGAGAATTACTTAAACCCTAACGAAAGAAGTGCCTTTGTCAAGCTCTGCTTTTTAAACGAAAATAAAAATTCTTCACCTTGTAAGTACCTCTGCTGCACGATCTCATCTTTGTAAGCAGGCTGCTCTCCCAGGCATGCGGGACCCGCATCACACCGGCCACTCCTTCCCTTGTGGGTGTGGGGTGGGCCCTGCCCTCCCCAGCCTGCTGCTTGGCTCTCCAGTACTCACCGGAGGCCCCCGCATCCTGGATGGCCAGAGTCTGGGCCGGGGCTGGGAGATAGGAAATCCTAGCAATAAAGGACTCTGAAAGTTATTAAGTGCTAACTCAGTGTAGGTTGATAACAAATAGTAAATATTTGCTACACAAATGACCAACTGAAGAGTCACTACTAGTATTGCTATTATTCAGGAGTGGTGAAAGCTTTAAGTATGTCCCTGCTAAAAGTCCGCATGTAAAGAAACAGACTATTTTTATACTCCTTAAACATGCTAATTTCAATGCAAAATTTTGCTGTCTTTGGAAAAAATTAAAAGCCCACAAACATTTATTTATAAAGATGAGTAAGACATGGCTCCTCCCTCCCCGGAGTTCACCATTTATTGAAAGGAACTCGTACCCAAATAAGGGAAGTTCGTGGCAAAATGTGGTGCCAGAATTAACAAAGTCAGAGTGTGCTGAGGGAACAAAATGGAGGGAAGGAAATACTTCGCGTTTTGCTTCTGAACCACAGCCGTATCTGGTTCTTTGACATCCTCTCCTTGTGGGAAAGTTCATACCTCTGGCGCTTTCTCTCCCTATCTGTGGACAGGGCATCAGGGAGACTGTTTCTAATCTTTCACAATTGCCAATTTCCAAGATGAAGGAATGCCATTTCCCAGATTGAACTCAGCTGTACATCCCCTACGCGCCCCCCTCCAGCTGCCAAATCCTTCACGTGCATGTATTCTCTCGAGATGACAGCCACTAAAACTCTGCAGAAGCAACAGAGCAGATTTCTTTACTATCTCCTTGGCCTTTGGGTCTACAGTCCATGAGACTTGTCATTCCAATATATGAGGAAATGAGGGATCAACTGAGTCATCTGAAGTGTGACTTTGAGCTGCATTAGTAAATATATAGTGGCCAAGAGGGTAGAAGTCATAGGGAGGCATTGCTCAGCGTTGAAAAGAACCTTCCAGAAATTGGAATGCAGTGGGCTGTTGTGGGAGGTCCTGAGCCCCATCTGTAGAGATGTCTCTACAGATCCCATCCGGAGACAGTGTACTTTGTCAGGATGTTGCAAATGGTGTAGACCAGACTAGAACTGGACAAGATGACCCTATGATCCTTCCCAACTCTGAGTTTCTATGTTTCAAATAAAATCCAGAATTATATTTGGAGACTAGCAAAAGATTAAGACTGAACTCTTTAGTATCGCTGCTCATCACGACTTAAGTTCGGGTGGTCAACATGACTAATTTGGACTTTCTAGCTTCTGCTCTGCCTTTCATCTCTCAGGGACAATGTCTCCCAGTTCCCTTGTCAAATGGGACCCTCCTGAGGGGGAATGAAGCCTAGCTACGAGAGACTGGCAAGTAAGACAGGAGACCAGGGAAGGAGAACCAGCAACAGAGAAGGCATATTTATTGGCCATTGACTCTTCTTTCTTCCTTTCCCTGGCTTTCTTCTTGTCTTCCATGGTGTCTTTCCTACATTTGTCTTCTTTTCTCTTTAGTCTCTATTTTCTGGAATTGTCTTAGTAACGTAATTTAGTTTCTGACTCCTAGAAACCTTGCTCATGTGTTTGGAGAAGACTTCAATCCCCGTCAAAGGGATTATCTACCCCTCCACTTATCAGATGAAGTAGCTGAGTGCACAGAAGTTGGGTGGTATGCTCAGGTATCACACAGTAGCACCCAGCCAACCCCAACCTAGACTCCTGGTCTTGTGGCTACTGATAAAATGCCCTTTAAAAGTTGAATTTCTTTTCCTGAATTCAGAAGACTTGAAAGTTCTTTGTTTTCTATGTTCCCTAATTTTCTTACTTTTTAAAATTTCATGAAATATTTCCTTCATACAGAAAAGTTTGGGAAATGATACCCATATATCCACCATCTGGGGATCATTTTTGATGCTCTGAATTTAATCATAGCTAACATTTTTCAGCTTGTTCAAAACCAGAATGGATCTGTTCCCAGACATCAAATCCAAAATCCTCTCATGATGAACATGAGCCCATACCAGGAAAGTAAGTATTATTTTATTATTAATAACAACAAAAATGACTACCAATTAGTTGGATACATACCGTGTGCTTAGTGCATGAAATTACTGGCCCAAGATCACCTAGATCATAAGTAGTCGAGCCAAGATTCAAACCAAAGTATGGCTGATACTTCAAACGTTCATTTGTTCTTCAACAAGTATTTGAGTGTTAATAGCAGCCTCTTGTGCTGGGTTCTGAGGGCACAGTGATTAAATTAAACTACTGTCCCTGCCGTCATGGAAGTTACTTTTTTGGTAGAAGAGCCAGTCTTTGTAAGTGCCAAAAAGGGGATGTCCTGAGTGCCATTACCTAATTTGGAGGTTCAGTGAAGCTGAACACCAAAGGATAAGTGTGAATCAACTAGCAAGGGGATGTAGAGGTAAGAGTGAAGACATTCCAGTCTAAGAGAGCTTGCTGGAATGGGAAGGCCCCTTGGCAAGTTCTGGATCAGTGTAGTATGCATGGCTGTGGGCCATGATGGGGCTGGTGAGGGGAAGCTGGTGGGATGGGTAGGGCCAGACCATGCAAGGGCTTGTTGGCTACGGGAAGGATTTCAGACTCTTGAGTATAATAAGCCAATGAAGGGTGTTTGTAAAGTTTCTTAGTGTTTTAAAAGATCATTCTAACTACCAAAGGAGTGGGAATGGAGTAGAGGAGTTAAGGATTGGAGCACAGCAGCCAAGTAAGAGGCTGGTGCAATATTCTAGGTGAAATGATGGTAGCTTGGCCAAGGGTGGTAGAGAAGGAAAGAGAGAGGTCTAGTATTCAAGAGCTATTTAGGAGGCAGAATCAATAGTGTAGCAGAGTGGTTAATAGTTCAGGCTCTGCACTCACTCACTCAGTCTGAACTCACTAGCTCCTATGATAATGCAGTGCAGTGTTAAAGAATGTGGCCTCTGGCGAGGTCTTGGGTTTGCATCTTGGTTCTGTGTCCTGGAGCTGGTTGCCTGACCTCTCGGTGCCTCCTTTTCCCCGCATTTCCCCATTATTCCCCAAATGGGAATCATAATAGTGCCAAACTCATTGAGGATTGGGTCAATACATATAAAGCACTTGGAAAGGTACCTGGCATTCAGCAAGTGATGGCTATTATTGTTGATCATGGTGACCGATTGGATGTAGGGAGACAGAGGACTCTGAAGCCCACACCCTTCCCACTGCACCGCACTGCCCTGCTCTGCCTGGAGTTTTTCATTAGCTAGGGGCTCCTGATGCTCATGTTCTCTGATGCTCTCAACTGGACGACAGATCCAATGTGTTAAACTAACCTGTGGAACCAACTCATGTGAATGTGGTAGGGGAGGGGGGCGATGAAGGGAGGCTTTGGGTCACAAGCATTTGAAGCCAGACTTTCTGGAGATGACTGCTACAAGTGTCCTATGTACCAAAGAAGTAATGCTTAATTAACAGAAGGACTCTTAAGCCAGGGGGACGTGAGGATGGCTCCATGGCCCACCTGTCAACAGGCAATGTCTTGTGGCAACCCTTAAGGCCACTACTCATTGTTGTGCAAAGCATAACACCAGGCAGTGCCCTTCACATACACTGTGAGTGAAACCTTCCAGAGCTATGCAGTGTGCAACTGGAACAACCGTACATGGTGACACTGGCCCCCCTTATTCACCCAGACCATCAAGAGACGAGAGTCATACTTACAGTGTAGTAGGCAAGGGGAGCCTGCTTAAAGAGGTGCTGCTTTTATCTTTCTACTGCTGCTGCCTCCTTACTCTGTAAGCTCACTGGTGCTAGAATGAACTCAACTCAAAGTGCCTGCAATTGGCAGATTTGTGTGCATTTGTTTTATAAATATGCAGGGTAGAAGGTTGGCCCGAAAAGAATGAAAACCTAATAAAAATCGGAGTTTTTCCTCTTTCTTTGGCAACAGAAGAAGAGACATTCTGGGAGAAAACACCCTTCATGGTTGTGGAACAAACTATTTCTGTGGTCAGCCTCAACAGGACTATAGGCAAAAGACAGAGAGAGCACAAACTCCTCACCCCCAACACACACACACACACACACACACACACACACACACACACACACAGCCATTACTGAACCACCACAGAGCTCAAGGGGAGAGGGGAGCTTTATACAAATATGCTTTTGCCTTCCAGAAAAAATCTTAAGGTTTTCATGACCTACCATTCAGACCTTGCTACACCCTCACCCCATTTCCACTCCTGCAGGATTTCTGGAAGCAAATCTTTAAGCAACTTTGGCAGTACCGAAGAAACAGAATCTGAGGTGAGGACTTAGAAAAGAAAAACAAAAACATTCTAGAATCCTTGCAGCTTGTAAGTATGGTCTTGACCACAAAACCAATGGCTTTTAAATTATTACAGTATGGGGGCGCCAGAAAATGCTCCGCTAAACACAACTTGTGCTCAGCACTAACACAGAGACACACAGCCTGAGCAGCCACGTGGTTTGTATTATTCCTAAATTGGTTCCAAGGGAAATTTCCTGGAGAAAGTGTTTTGTGGGTGGTGCCTCGGCTACAGAATCCCTTGGGCTAGGAGTGAAGGCAGCGGAGACTGTTTCCAGCCGCTCCCAAGTCTGTTCCAGTGACACTGGTGTTAGAACGGCCTGGTTCCCAATTTTCCAATCAAATTCCATGCCACTTTCAAATGCTTCCAACGCAAGCACTAATCCCCCTGGGTGCGCTCTCAGGGGTTATGACTCCTCCGTCCCCTTCGACGACCCCCAAAGGGCTTGCCTTCTTTCTCACAGATCTCTTCCTCTGTGGCAGGGCAACAGCCTGGCAGGTTGCTGATCTCACCCTCTGGTTCACACTCATCGGTCACGTGTTGGGTCTTTTTTTTTTTTCTGTCCCTTTCCCTAAAAAATATATTCCATCTCAGACTGGTTTCCTAGGAAACCAACCGTCAAAAACAGTAATAGACTGGGTGGGAAAAGAATACTCCAAAAATTCCACCTTGCAATGTTTAATAATGAGATAACCCAATTAAGAGAAACAGTAACTTTATACAAATGTGTGGACTTTTCCTCTGTAGATTTTAAACTCGTCTTTGGCTCATGCCCTGAGGACAGCAACCATTTTGAAAGACACTACTGATCGAATGATTACAGCTATTGCAGAAGATCTTGCCAAAGTACAGAGATGGAGGAATCGACTGAAATACTAGTTCGACCCAAGGCAACTGAGAACTTAAAAAAAAAAGACAAATGCAAAGAAAACTGATCTTCCCCCCAAGAGTATCTTATTATACCATTTAGGAAGGTGACTTTCTAGAGAAAATACCAAAACCATAAGAAATGGGGGGGGGGGCACCAAGTGCTTAAAAAGAAAAAACAATGGATCCCTGATTCTTAAAATTGAAATCAACAAGTATTTATTTAAAATAAATCTTATTCCTAACTCATAATAAAAGAAATCAAAGCAATAAACTAGGAGTGCCTGGCTGACTCTGTGGGAAGAGCATGTGACTCTTGATCTCAGGGTCAAGAGTTCGAGCCCCACCTTGGGTGTAGATTACTAAAAAAAAAAAAAAAGGATAGAACCAAACTATACCTTTGCCTATTAGTATGGCAAAAACTAAAGTTTAGAAAAGCCAGTGTCAGCGAGGCTGGGGGTGACAGGTGCTCTTGTACCCTGGGGATGGAAGTGTAAATTGGTGTAACCTGGTGGGAAGGCAACTTGGTATCAAATCCTACAAATGTAAAAGGACTTGCCTTCTGAGCAGAAACCCCACTATTAGCAATTACTTCATAGGTGACTCACACAATAGGCCATCGTATTACACATGGGTGGCCACTGGAGCACTGAGGGAAAGAGCCCCCACATGGAACGATCTAATACCCTCTGTGGGGATTCATAAATAACGACAGACATACAGTTAGTGCTCTGCACCAGTGGAAAAAAAGGGGGTGGATAATCTTGCAAGATAGTGAAAAAAAGCAAGACGACTAATAATATATGTAGTGTGACCTCATTTGTGTATGTTTTTCAAAGGGCATACATATTTTCTGGAACGGATACACAAAAATATTCAGTGGACCTCCAGGAAATGGAAACTGGGCATTGTTCAGGGAAGGATCTTTACTTTTTTACTTTCTGTACAGTATGAAATTCTTACAATATGTTTATAATGTAAATTACATGAAGATCTCTTGAAGTCAGATGCAAAAATGTTAGTCCTAGATTAATGAATTTGGGACAAAGTGAAGACAATTCACTAAAACTATGTACCGGGGATTAACTAAATGTATAGCATTTCATGTGGAATGTCAGAACAAGATTTTGATTTGCTTAAGACTGGTTTATAACCTCTTTAATGACAGAGCAACACATGATTGGCTCTTTCCCTGCTTCCTGAGGTCTCTATTTACTCGAAACACTCAACAAATGGTTTCCCAACCCCCAGAGCTTTGCTCAGGGGTAGAGAGAGTTGAATCCATTCCCACTTTGAAGATTTTTTGTGGCCAAGGCAGCTGCTATTTGTCTAGCTGGCTGGAGAATTGACTATTTTTAACTTTGGGGCTTGGAAATTGGTTTAGGGTGCCTTAGAAGAGATAAAGCAGAGGTCAGGCTGAAGATGTCTCTGACTTTGTGGCTGAAGGTACTTTAAGTCTTGGCACCATAAGGAAGAGAGTGAAGACTGGTAGTAGCATTTTTTTTTAAAGATTTTATTTGACAGAGAGACACAGCGAGAGAAGGAGCACAAGCAGGGGGAGTGGCAGAGGGAGAAGCAGGCTTCCCGCTGAGCAGGGAGCCCGATGCGGGGCTCGATCCCAGGACCCTGAGATCATGACCTGAGCCGAAGGCAGACGCTTAACCAACTGAACCACCCAGGCGCCCGCGGTAGTAGAATTTTAAGAAAAAAAAAAAAAAAGGGAGCTTTAACTGTGTATATGCTAAGAGGCTTCTAGATTCATCACTTACCTAAATTTAATCACCACTTGATAACCTGTTTTGTGTGCCAAGCATCACTGTCCTGTCCCCAAGTTTAAAATTACACTTCCTTGGCTTGAAGGGTTCTCGTATGATTCATTAGTTCTTAATCTTTTCTGGGTTCAACCGTCTTTGAGAAACTGAAGAAAGCTATGGAGTCTCCCTCCCCCATGCTCCCCCTCTTGCAGGGAAAAGAGATATAAGAACACACACAATTTTTAAAAGTTCATGGACACCTAAAGCAAACCCATGGAATCCAGGTTAGAAAGGACCACCATAAATGAATGTTCCTAAACCCTCAACTAACCTTTAGAGAAACATAACTGTTGTAATCATTTATTTAAAAATATGGCCCATCTCTGCTTTATTAAACTATATCCTAAATGTAATTTTACATTTCCTTAATGATTGAGGATTATTATGAACCATCACTGCAACGTGCTTAATCCAAGAAACAGAAATAGGGCAATGTCCTTAAGAATTTCTGGAAAAGTGCAAGGCTCTGACTTACAAAGATAACTTTATATTTACTGATCCTGTAGCCTTGGCTGTCTCCTCCCTTCTTTGTGTAAATTTTGACATCTCTCTTCTAGCTCTGCTGCAGTAACAGACCAGAAAAACAAGTTCATTAGCGAAAAGTAATTGTATTTCTAATGCTGAGTCAAGGGGCTCACCATTGCTGAGAGCAGCGGGGTGGCAGCATCCACCATCCAGAGGACTCTTCCTGCGTACTTCCAACATGTAGTTGTGCTCCGGTGGCTTGAGGCTGCCAGGAGCAAGAAGCAGGATGAGCAGCAATGCTTTTAACTCTTTAAAATAAAGAAAGTCCTAGCCGTCAACTTTATTAGATTATGCAAATGAAAATTCATCTTTTAATCACTTTCAACGGTAATCTTACAGTTAAGGATTTAAAATAGACCTAATTCATACTAAATTTGAATATGTTTATTTTTAATACCCAAAATGTTGTTTTGGTAGTAGAAATTTTACCGTGGGATGAAGACTTTGTTGTTCCTTTGATTTTTAAAAGAAAACTGCCTGCAACCTGACAATTCACAAAGGGTTACAAATACCTGAGTTATGGGGGCATACATCTTACAAAATAAACTGTCAGGATCTGGATCTTTGCGGCTCAAATCCAAGAACTTTTGTGTCTTTGTGAATGGCTGATATTTTTCTTATTTTTTTGTGAATATGGCTGAACAATGTGAATCCACTATACTTTATAAACCAAGCACACTCAACAGGAAGCAAGCATGGGCTTCTGAGATAGCGAATAAATGGTTTCAGTTAGTTGTAACAGCAAAGTATCTTTTTCGGGGTCTTATCAGAATCTGTAATTGCTAATTCTGGAGGTGGAATCAGTTTATACCAGGAATTTATGTGAGATGACAACTTATGTCTTCAAATTCAGTGAGAGATTTAGGAAACATGATCTAAATCTAAGCCTAAAATATATGTAGAGTGCAGGCCTCAAAGGATCTCACATCACTGTGACAGGACAAAGTAATCACCGAGGTGTTACGTGACTGAAGGGGTCAGTGTGTGCTGCCATCACACTCTTGGTTCCATCTGTCACAGGGCACTGATCAGTGTAAATGTCTGTTTCACACACGTACTAACTCTGGACGGATAGTAACCAAGGTACACAAGGGCCTTAGATAAAATGCAGACAAAAAAACCAACCCTTTCACTGGCAATGAACTGTTCCCATGTTCGATGCATGGAGACAAGCCTTTCCTCTCCACACGCACACCCAGGTTAAGTTACATAACCTTTTTGTGCCCTAGTTTTCTCGGCTTTCAAATGGAGATGATGATAATAGTGCCTATCCTTGCAGGATTGAGAAGATTAAATGAGGTAATATAAGCACTTTGAAACACTGCCTGGCACATACAAAGTTCTAAGTAAGCACCTGCATATTATTATTCTGTTATCACTACCTAGTAAACTAGCAAGTTATGAAATATATCAAAAAATAACATTCCTACATAAAAGATGTTTGAAAATAACGTAAAAGATCCAATTCCTATGGAACCACGAAAGACAGGTATGGCAGCTGCAGTACCTATACGAGCAAAATACAGGTCTTCAAAGTCAGAAAGATTTAGGGAAATAAAGACATTCTATATTCCTGAATTTCCAGTTTCAATATTATAGAGCTGTCAATTTTTTTTTTTTTTTAGAGATTTTATTTATTTATTTATTTGAGAGAGTGAGCAGGCTGAGGGAGAGGGAGAAGCAGACTCCCCACTGAGCAGGGAGCCCAATGCGGGGCTCGATCCCAGGACCCTGGGATCATGACCTGAGCCGAAGGCAGACCCTTAACCAACTGAACCACCCAGGCGCCCGAGCTGTCAATTCCTCTTAAATTAACCTATAAATTTATTGCAAACCTAATGAAAATACCAAAATAACCTTTGGTATTAACAAAATGATACTAAAGTTCATTAAAAAAATGTAATAGAAAATCTCTGAAAATAAGTGATTTAGGTGTGGGTGGAGATTATATGTCACACGTTAAAATATAGCATGAGTTAGGGGTGTCTGGCTGACTCAGCTGGTGAAGCATGCCACTCTTGATCTTGGGGTCATGAGTTCGAGCTCCACGTGTGGCATGGAGCTTAAAATATTTTTTTAGACCTTTTTTTTTTTTTAAAGATTTTATTTATTTGACAGAGAGAGAAAAAGAGCACAAGCAGTGGGGACCGGCAGGGAGAGGGAGAAGCAGGCTCCCCGCTGAGCAGGGAGCCCGACCCGACCCGGGGCTCAATCCCAGGACCCCGGGATCATGACCTGAGCCAAAGGCTGATGAGACACTTAACTAGCCACCCAGGCACCCCTAAAAATTTTTTTAAATAAAATATAGCATGAATTAAAATAGGGAAAAAGATATATGAATGATAGCTCAATAAAAGAGAATTCAGAAATAGACCAAAATACAAATATAAATTTAGTCTATGATAAAGGTAGTATTCCAGACTAGACGGGGAAAGAGGGATTACCCAATAAAATCTGTACAATATCTGGCTGTTTAGGAAGAAAGCTGGATCCCTGTTAAATACTGTATCAGTCAGGGTTCACTGTAGGAACAGAAACTCCGCAGGTATTTCAAAGAATAGAAATCAACACAGGTCCTTAAAAATCAGAGAAAAAGGGGCCCCTGGGTGGCTCAGTTGGTTAAACATCTGACTTTGGCTCAGGTTATGATCTCAGGGGTCTTGAGACTGAGCCCTGTGTTGGGTTCTGTGCTCAGTGGGGAGTCTGCTTCTCCCTCTCCCTCTGC